AATGACAAAGCACCAGAGGCAGTACAGAGGCAGATGTGGATAATGATATTAGATGAAACATTATCACATTTCTCATCTTTGTTCCCGAAAAACTACGAATGTTCCCCTAAGTCTAAAACCATAGCCTATTCCTCAGAAACAGACTAAATTTAATCTGGTCATAAGGAGGAATTTGAAGGACATGCATTTTTGCTCTGTATACAAGAAGAGCTGGAAAACTTCCATTGTTTGAATGTAGATTTATCTAAAAGGAAATCAATATTAAACCTAAATACACCATATAACAAAATGCTGACTAATAAGATAAGTCACTTTAAGTACTAATCAGATTAAATTAAAGGGGGCATTTTAAATACTTAAAAGAATTTTCTGAAGCCCTCAGAGTGAGTAATTCAACACAACTATTTGGTAGCAAATGCTAATTTTGCCAGTACATTTTTTTAAAAACTCTAAATGGGGAGGGGTGTTTTGTTTCTATAAAAGGCTAGAAAATAATTTAGGCTGCAGAGAGCAGGGAGGACATTCTGGACTTTAAGTCTTTTTAAGAAAGAAAGGTTTGCACCTTTCATGGCTGATGAAATTCAAGATATAATCACTGTATATAATTTCTTGGTAGCAACACAGTTGCACTTATGACAAGAACTAAATTCTTTGAGGGAAACATCCCATCCAATTGGTTAGTGTTTCCTTTCACCAAACTGTTTCCAAATGCTCATCTGGAAAACCAGTCTCAGTTCCAGGACTTAAAACTAAAAAACAACAACAAACAAACAACAACAAAAAACCACTCAGGAAAGTACTTACAGGAAACAAAACCTCAATTATATCAACACAAAGCTCTTAATTGCCAAAGGTTCCCTGTTTAATCACTGCAATATATTTGAGCATTAAAATCTTTAAGTTTCTTAGCATAACATGCCTAATCTTTAACAATCATTTCTAAAAACCAACTTATCCTTCCTTGAGTCTATGCTAAAGTTTAAGTAAAAACAAAGATTACTAAATACAAATGAAAGATTTAATGTTCTTCAAGAACCTACAATCTAAGGATTCAGACTAAAAAGGAGGAAAGTCATAGCAAATTTTTTATCAGAAACAGGAAATAATCAGGACAAGATAACTGAGAGTAGAAAATTAAATAAGGTTAGAGGAGGAAGGAGGGAGAAGAAAGCTGGGAATTCAGCAAAGTAGTTGAAAAAGTCCACTAAGATTTCATCATTTTTAGCAATATTAATTTCACACAATTGTCTAGGCTCTCGGTATTACTGTATTTACCTTCTGTCTTAAATATTGCTTTAAATAACATATCCATTTGACTCTAACCATTAATTAGTTTTTCTTTTACTGTTTTTGAACACTAGGTCTATGTCACCCAAGCTGGCAATGAATTACTTGATCCAAACAATCTTCCTACCTCAAGCCTCCCCAAAATATCTGAGGCTGTAGCAACAGGATGCCTGACCCAGCTCTCTAAGCATTAATTTGCAACTATATCACTTCACACTGATAAATACTTTTGCAGAAGTTAGAGAGATGGTCTTTTCAAGTTAGCTATGTATCTTGGCCAAGAGCCTTAGAGGAATCATTCATGCCTTGTGGTGGGAAGATGCTTGATTCCTAACTCTGCCAAATTAAAGAAAATGTCTTTCCTGCAAATAATAAAGATATTAAGTAAGTGTTCAAGAAATACATCCATAAATTAAAATATCTTAGTGGTTAATAAAATTATCAATGGTACTTTTCTAAAAACCTCATTTTACATTGAAAATCTAAAAACGAAGTAAGATTCATAAACTTAACAAGGGAAGGTAATATGATACTAAATATGAGCATTGAAATATAAAAGCACCTTTTCTTAAAATTACCTTTTTCAGGGGAGTTCAGGGCATTATAAGAGTGGTAATATTTTAATATAGTATATCTGAGAAACTATGAAAGGTCCGTTAGCTTTACTTTAAAATTTTCAAGTTCTGAACAAAACACTTCAAGCCAAGCATTTTGATTTATAAATCTCCTTTGCTCTAGTTATTTGAACTATGCTGCACTTAGGCTACTGAGTTTTCAAAAAGAAACTTAAAAGATGTAAACAAGAAAACAGGAATCAGTTTGGGTAAGAACTGTTCATTTCCCATTTACCTTTATTTTATTTTTGCTTGTTTATTTGTTTTATATTGTCTCTGTATACAGTCCTGTCTATCCTGGAAGTCGCTATGTAGACCAAGCTCAAGAGATCAACCCCTCTGCTTCCCTTGCATTGGGACTAAAGGCATTTGCCACACTTGATTTTTTTTTTTTCAGGTTCATTCTATTATTTTTATTAGTTACAGTTTATTCACTTTGTACACACTTGATCTTTTTAAAAGCATTTTATCAGTTTATCTTTATGTGGTTGAGTGTTTTGCCTACAGGTCAGTAGACCATGTGGGTGTCTGATACCTGCTGAGGCTGGAAGAGAACATAGGCTCATCAAGAACTGTAGTTAAAGACAGTTGTGAGCCACTATGCAGGTGCTAGAAATCAAACATGGGTATTCTTGCAAGAGAAACCAGTGTTCTTAACTGCTGAGCCAACTCTTCAGCTCCTGCTATTGACTTTCAACAACCCTGAGAGTGTTTTAGTCTAAGTTGGGGAGAGGTAGCTTGGTGGTACAGCACTTTCTTGTGGCCCTGAGTTCAATCTCCAGCACACACACACAGTAGAGAATAAGAACACAAACATGTATGCCACTTTTGGGAAAGCTCTTTAGGTTTTCCTAATAACTTCAGACCCAATTTGAAATAATTTCACTATACATCCAACACTCAAATTTTAATCATTCTATCTGCATGTGTTGGTGTTAATACAAAATTTCCAGTAACTCCTAATTTTCATTTCCTCCAATTTCTAATGTGGCATTTTGAACCCAGCATTGTTTTAAATCAAAATTAAGTTTTAAGTCACAGAATTTCAGAACTGAATAGCATCTTAAGATCGTCAAATCTAAATCTTTTAATGTGTCAAGCGCTGCACACAAAAACTCAGGTCCCATCACTGACCAGAGTGAGGGTTGGAGCTTTTGCACTATACCAATTCTTAACTCCAATGACCTCCTGAACAAACTGCAATATACTCTTAAAATCACTGAGCACTAGAAATTTCCATTCCACTAATACTAAATGTATAGAACCTTACTTTATTTCAGAACCTAAAGTTTTAAAGAAAATTAAAGATATTTTCATACTGTCGTAAATAGTACAAGTTTTCTAATAATTTAGTAAATATTCATATACAATTCTAAATCATCGCTTTCATCCTAATATCTTAAGTTTAAATAAGATGATTCAAGTTTCTAATGTTTAGCTAGGAGGAAATCCGTTATATTTACTATCATCTCAGGAAGGATCTTAGTGTGAAAGCTTAAATCAGGACTATGTTACTCTTAGTCTACTGTCATACTGCAAGCGGGTCCTTAGCATTCAACCTCCTGCTGAATAGTGGGTTAAGACTATTGTGAAACCTTAGAAGAAACTCAGTATTCTATTTATTTTAGAGATGAAGAAACGAACCTTCAGAGAAATTAAATAAATTACCCCCAAATCTGAGATAATTAAAGGTGGCAGAGCTCAGGCTTGGGGTAGGAGAGGGCACAGATGAAAACAGAAGTGTTTCACATTTGCCAATTTTTTTTTTAACATTTTGTATTATCTGTATAATCTTCTCCAGTTAAGCATGCCTAATCTGGAAGTCTGTAATCCAAAATATTATAAAATCAAAACTTTTCTAGTGCCCAACCTGGCCAGCCCAGAGCTGTATATTTTGGAGTATCTTGGGTTACACTTAAGGACTATCAAAGATAAAAACAGGAAAAAAAATATATATATATACATATACATATACATATACATATATATATATATATATATATACCTAAAACATATACTGTGAACCTAGTCAACACACTGAAAAGAATTCTTAGTAAAGAATTTTAAAAGTACACTCAAGATACTATTCTGTCATTAGCACGGAAACACTATGCAGTTGAAAATGTAACCACCTGGCTTTAGCGTTAATATTTTAAGTTAAGCTGGAAAAGGGCACCAAAACTCCATGGCTAAAATGTCCGGGGAAGTCCAAATAAATCACATACATGTAGTATTTATTTTTAAAAATATGTACACAAAAACATATATATGTGCACAACAGAAGAAAGCGAGGACTTGTAGATGTCTAGCACTGCATGCCACACGGTACTTACACGCTGCTACCAGCCAATCTTCACCTCTGCGGGTGGATAAAGATGCAGTGATTATTGCACCGGCAGAAATCAAAATTTCCTTGAGTTTCTACCGTGTCTTAAAGTAAAATGTTCCATTAAATCAATGCCAGTGAAATTGTTTTGTAGCTAGATCCCAACTCATTTCGTGTAGAGTCACTGAGTTGCAGTTATCAAATCAAGCGGGGAGAGCTGGGGCAGTGTCAGAAACGAATACAGCCTAGTTTCCCGTTTTCTATTATATCAGGGCCAACAACTAAAAATATCTTATCAGTTCAAAATATCTTATCAGCTCAAAAAAAAGTACTGTGTGTGCCCTGGAAAATGTGACTTAATTTCTTCCCAGAAGAATCAATACCTCTATGACTCTGGGTCCTTTACCCAAGAATGACTAATTTATTAATCTCGGTATCCCGGTAATCCCCACGCAAGTAGCGATGGTCTGACCCTGCGAGTTGCCTCGGAGTCACACCTAAATCTAACTTTTCCTCTATTTCTCTCCTAGGAAAGCATTCACGCTAACCCTCGGAGAACCGCGCCAAGCGCCCAGGAAGCAAGTCTCGTCCACCGGACATTCTCGCTTTATTCATTCCGTTCTAGGCCGCGTAAATCGAGAGGGCAGAGGGAAGCTGGAAGGCAAAACTGCAAACTCAGAAGAGCCGCAGGAGAAACCCAGGAGGCACCGGAGGGCGGGGCCCGCCTGTCACCTTCGGGGAGCCCGGGGACCGCCGCCACGCCCCTCCCTCACCTCGATCTCACGGATGTTGTTGGAGGTGACGAAGATGCCGATGCCGATGGGGATGAAGATGAGGCCGATGATGAAGAAGGTAGGCAGCACCGTGCCCGCCGTGAGGATGGGCTGCCAGGCGGGCAGCCGTTGCTGCTTGAAGGCCGTGTTATCCGGCCTCCGGGTCTTGGCGGCGGCCCCGGGGGGGCACGGGGGCCCGCCGTCCACCTCGTCCTTCGCGGTATAGTTCATCGCCATCGGCCCCCGGGCTTCGGCTCGGCCGCCTTCAGCTGGGCCGCCCAGGGGACCTGCCAGCCGACCCTGACAGGAGACGCGCAGGCGCCGCGGCCGCTGCTGCCTCCGCCACCCGCGCCGCCACCGGGGAGGCGGAAGAGGCGGGACGCGCTTCTGCCGGCGGACGCTGACCGGAAGCGAGAGTCTTCAGGAGACGCCCCAGGGAGGGAGAAAGAGGAAGAGGGAGAAGACTGAGGGACGAGGGGTGGGGAGGGGGAGGTGGATGGAAGGGGGAAGGAAAAGGCGGACGCACCCTGATCATCTGCCCTGTGACGACAAAGTGAGGGGTTTAGGCCGGGCGCGCGGCAACGTGGGCGCATGCGCGGCCCTGCGTGACGTCACGGCGCTGCGCCCGGGCGAGGTGGCGTCTTCCCCTCCGCGGGGGACGGACGCTGCTGTTTGCGTACGCTTCCTGTTGTGGTGCGGCTAGAGAAGGCGGCCGTGGGGTCGGGTCGGACTCGGTGGCTTGGGCTACGTGTGTTCTGGCGCTAGGCTGGCTCTTATTTTTAAGGCTACGCCTCCCCTAAAGGGAATCGTGGCGTTCCAGAATCCACACGTTTAAAAGGATGCAGATCCCTGTTGGATGTTTTAACTCGCCACTCAACGTGCCGCTGTGAAATTAAGTGAGGTGATATGTGACCCGTTTGATCTAGAACACAAAACAAAACAAAGAATCAGTAACGTGACCTAATTTAGCCCTAAAGCCTCGCTTCTGATCTGTTCTCACATTTCCTCCATCAATGATATTCGCCCCCTGCACATTGACTTAGGAAGTTTATTGTAATACATGATAGTGATATTTTTTAAATTGATAACAAAAAAAAAAAAAACAGCATAATACCACTTGTTAAAAGTGAAGTAATAACATACTTTTAATCTGCCAAGGAAAAAAACACTAAGCTGTAATCCCAGTGCTCGAAAGGCAGAGGCAGGATAATCAAAAATACAAGGCCAGTCTAAGCTACTTAGTAAGAGGCCAATGGGAAATCCGTAGGGAGACCTGTCTCAATAAATAATAGCGATAATAATAAGTGGGTAGCTCAAATACAACAAAGCAGTACAGAGACCAAAATGTAGAACACAACTATAAAGCTGATTGACCCTGGAGGCTGGGTTTTTTGTTTCTTTTTGCTTTTACATATTTTACAAATTTTCTCTTATAAGCATGTGCATTTACTATTTGTAAATTTACAAAAGTATTGCAGTATCTACATTATTACTGTTTGAAATCCAGACCATCTGACAACAAACACCCACTTTAGTGCTAGCCTATGGTTTCGACTTGCTTGGGTACACTCTCGGTCTGTGATCTTCTCTCGGAGTTTCTTTGTGTAGCCCTGGCTGTTCTGGAACTCACTCTGTAGACCATGCTGGCCTTGAACTCAGAGATCTGCCTGCTTCTGTCTCCAGAGTGCTAGGATTAAAGGTGTGTGCCACCAAAGCCCTACTGATCTGTCACATTCTTAGGGCCACTAGAATACTTAGGTCTGTATCTTGCTTTAGCAGTCTAAGTTTACCCTCCAACTTGGCTCAAGTGGAAAACAGTCTGCCATCGTTATTGGAGAGGAATATCTTTTCAATTTAATAAATTCTGTTGATTCATAAAATGTTCATCTCAGTGTTGGCGATAATCCCGAAGTCTTTTTTTTTTTTTTTTCTCCCTATTCTTACTTAGATCATCACACTGTTAAATGTGTTAATTCCTTTAACTGGTTTTGCTACTCTGGGGCTTTGTTTAAATAGTGCTGCAATTGAGCCTTCAACCCACAATTGGAAATATTCAGGGAAAAAAGAAAATTGCTTCTTTGCTAATAAACCTGGAGACAATTTCCCATCATTATCCTTTAAAAGGTTATTTACATTGTATTGGGTAGTAGAAAGAGTGGGATCATGAGATGGTTTAAAGTGTGTGGAGGATGTACATAGGTCTTTTACAAGAGCTACAAGAGATTTGAGCTATTGAGGATTATATCCACAAGTTCCAGCCACCTCCCTCAGATGCTGCAGGACATCTTACTTTGCGTTAAAATTTTGTTGCTATTATTGTTATAGGAGTAGTGATTTTCTTGTTCCTAGTCTGATTATCTGCTTTCTCTTTCCTTTTGCTTGCTCATGGGGGAGATTAACTCTTGGCCTTTTATTTATTAAAAACTTCACTGGGGCTAGTTGGCAGTTGCTCACGCCAGTACTTGGGAGGCAGAGGCAGGCAGATCTGTGTGAGTTAAGAGGCCAGCCTGGTCTATTTAGTGAGTTCCAGGATATCCAGATCTACATAGCTGTTGTCTTAGTATTTGGCTGAAGTTCATCCAGCTTTGTATGTCAAGTTCCTTCAGTATCTAAGTATGTACAAAGGTTTACTCACATAAACACCTTAATGTTGCCAAGAAAAAGTGAAGATGAGTGCTAAGGTTCTTCAGAGAAAGTCACACACACACACACACACACACACACACACACACACACACAACACACACAGTTTTTCTTTGTAGCCCTGGCTGTCCTAGACCTCCTTCTCTAGACCAGGCTCACCTCAGACTTAGAGATCTGTCTGCCTCTGCCTCCAGAGTGCTAGCATTAAAGGCATGCACCATCACTGATGGGCTCAGAGAAAGTCCTTAATGACTAAGAAATAGTCTGAATACTTCTCAATATCTTTTTTGCTCCACTTCCATTCAGTTAAGCATAGCTGCGTAGAGACTTTGGTAGGACCGATTAATTTTTTAAAGGATCCCTGATGATATTTAGGAAGGTGGTGTAGACTTTGTGGTGATATATTTAGTCCCCTATAGTTTACTAGAGATTCATCCAACCTGGGTTTGAGAAATTAATCTGGGTTTTAAAAGTTAATCTTTCTTAACTGGACAGTGGGGGCCTGTGCCTTTAATAGCAGCACTTGGGAGGCAGATCTCTGAGTGCAAGGTGAGCATGATTTATGCTAGAGTGAGTTTCAGAACACCCTGGACTATACAGAGAAACCCTGTCTGGAAAAAAAAAAAAAAAAAAAAAAAACAGCAACAAAAAGAACCTTTTCTGTAGCTTTTTTATAATGAGGCATACCCAAATTTTCAGCACTTGAGAGGAGGACAAGCAAGGCCAGCCCTGACTACATAAGATCCTGCCTCAAAATAATAACAAAACAAACAAACAAACAAAAAACTCTCTTCCTGATTTTTATGTCATGTGTGGAACTCTTGTTAGAGTTGGATGTTTAAGAAACCTTTTGATCTCACACTGAGAGGTTGTCTGATTGGCCGGAAGTCACTGCTGTCGCAGGCTGTTGTGTAACCAGTCAGCAATCACAAGCACTAGTCAAACCAGATACTTTGATCTTAAGTCATTTAAAGGAAGAACAATGATACCAAATATCAGACATTTGAGTAGAGAGCCTGCAAACTTAGTTTTAAGAATAAGGTTTCCTTTCTCACTCTAAGTGAAAGCATATACCTCCAGTGAGACCTCAGAATTCACCACTTCCATTGCTTAGGATCTCAGTTGATTACATCCCCGGCAGGCATCATCAATTATAGACAAAAGCTTATCTTTAAATAGAGTGCCATCTCTGGGTTGACAGCCAGTTGACATCTGTTACAGGTATAACAGATATTAATTATTTAAAGGGGAGTGGGGTGGAAAGGAAAAAAGGCTTAGCTTATTCTATGAAGATAATAGAGATAGAAAAAAAAAAGTATCTTTAAAAAGTGTTCTCTCATATGGGCAGACCATTTTTCAACTTATACTCCCCCCCCCCTTTTTTGACAAGGTTTAAATTGTCAGAAGTCCTAGCAGTGGAAGGTACATTTCTTCCTTCTTCCTTCTTCTTCTTCTTCTTTTTTCTTTTTTTTTTTTAAGCATTGAGTCACTGTTACCTATGAAGTTATTTATTGCTTTAGAATAACTCCAACTTCTGTCTGAACTCAAGGGGACTTAATTTACTTCCACACCTGCACTTATCACCCAGTACTGAAAGGTATCCCCTTCTATCTGTCTTAGTAGATATAAGCTCAGGACTGAGACTTTTATTCATTTCTAAAGGTCCAGTACTTGGCAAAAGACCTAGGACATAAAACATAATAAATCTAGAGCTTACCTGGCAACTCTCAATGAATTCACATTTCAGTGGAAGTGATCTCTTGCCAAAAAACAATGGAAACAGTGAGCTCTTTGCTCTTTGAGCCTATAGGGGATTGTAGGAGCCCCTTTTATGATGTCAAACACTAAGCAGTAGGGAAGGGAGTCCCCATTCCATAGAAAATAGAATAATCATCAAAGGAGCTTTATGCCATATGCTTTGGTAATATTGTGTATTACCCCGGGTGATAAAGTTGTTCTCATGCAAGGGTTTAGTAGGTTACATCACTATGGAAACAGATGTCTCCAGTGCTCTGAATTTGGAGGGAAATACCTGTTTTGTTAACTGGTGGTTTGAGTAAGCATGATCTTCATGGGCTCATAGATTTGAATGCCTGGCCACCAGAGAGTGGAACTGTTGGAAAGAATTATGAGGTGTGTGTTGGCTATTCATGCCCACTCAAGCCCTGCCATGAACTCCCTTTGTAAAATTTGTAAACCCTCAAGGTAAAGTGGCCAGGACCCTTCATGAGGAGCCCTAGCAGCCAGGCCCCTCCCCCAGATCTCTCTAACTGTCATAACAGTGTTTCCAGCCTCTTTAACTGTCACAAAGGTCTCCAGCCCCTCAGTAGGACCCAACCCAGATTAAGCTAGTTTTAGGTGAAAAGTCTGAACAAAAAGCTACCAATCCCTGAACAGGAAAACCCATCAATCCCAGAGCAGGGAAATCCTCCTAGAAAGCTCCACCCCCTAAGAAATCCTATACCAAGGCTGTGTTTGCTCAATTCCCTGCTGTCCTCTACCAGGAGCAGGGGCAGCCAACCCTGGATTTGTTCCTCCCAAGAAATCTATCTGTTTTATGGGATTTGTTGTGTGGTGTGACTCTCTCATCTGAAGAAGCCAAGAAGCAATGAAGAGAAGCAAAGAAGTGAAGTTGGGCAGAGGCTCCTGAGCTACTTAGCTCAGCTAGGGATACCCTCCCCCGGGAGCTGTAACTCCCCTACTGAAGAGGTCTCCTCTCAGAGCTGTGTGGTTCCTGGGCTCTCATGTCTTAGGACCCTTCCATTGGAACACTGTACCATCTCAAAACTGTATGGTTCCTGGGCCCCTGTGTCTCAGGGTGCCCTTCCATTGGAATACTTTCTCCCCTCAGAACTGTGTGGTTCCTAGGCTCCCGAGTCCCAGGACACCCTTTTATCCAAGCAGGAAGGCCAACACTGTGGCATTCTTGATGTAGCTGTGGGCTTGTTGGAAAAGGTTTGTCACTGGGAGAGGGCTTCGAGGTTTCAAAAGCCCACAGCAGGCCCAGTCCCTCTGTGGATCACGATGTAACTCTTAGCTACTTCTCCAACACCAGGCCTGCCTGCCTGCCTGTCTTTCTGCTGTCATGCAAATGCTTTCCTTTAGAAGAGTTGCCTTGGTCATGGTGTCTCTTCGTAGCAGTAGAACAGTAGCTAAGACATTAACCTATACAGTTCATTTGTCCCACTCTGCTGAGACTAGTATTCAGTGTGGAAACCATTGCATGGCCCCTTTGAAAAGTGAAGTGAAAATACATGAGTATATTTCCCTTGCTAAAGCAGTATAGACTGTCTGGGAGCCTGTAGCGGGCCCCGGGTCCTTACAGAGAACATATCTTCATTTTGAATCAATGGTCTGGATCTAAAACTTTCTGTGGGGACAGAACTTTCTGGAAAGGCAGTACTAGCCACCCTCAATACTCTGGAACAGAAGATAGAACAGGTCTAAAGTACTGATCCTCAGCAATTTTGAGGGTTAGAAGCACATCATTCGGTGCCTACAAAGCATATTAAGCTTAAATTAGCATGGCTTCCTGCAAAAGGCATGAAAGAACTATGCACAAAGAGAAAAAAAGAGAAGGGAAGGAAACAGAGAGGAGAGAAGGAAAGGAGAGAGAATGAATATGGTTGCGGTCAGGGGGAAAAGATCTGAAAGTTGGAGGGAAAATCAGGAACTTGAGAGAAGAGTAGGCAAGGCCTCATTCTAGCAGGGGTTGCTATTTCAAAACATTTATCCAAAGAGTAGAGTGTAGCTCGGTGGTAGAACACATGGTAATTATGTGTGAGAACCAGGTTCAATCTCAAACACATTAAAAAAAATGCATCCAATATCTTGTATAAGCAACACATTCTAACCAAGGAGCTGCTGGAGCTCTGTGTCCAGTTGCTTGAATTCACTGTGGGGAGTGTGAAAGCCTTTTACGAAGTGTGTAAAGTGGGTATACATTTGTACCTCAATGCAAGTTGCTTTTACTTCAATCTATAATGTTCCCCAAAGTCCAGTGCCACACCCACTCCCACGTCGCCAGAGTGGCATGTCAATAGACTGTGCTACAGGGCGGGAGACGCGCTTTCTTCGGAACTTCGCTCCCTGGAGGTCCCTGGCAGACTCCCCCCGCCTGGCAAAGACGTATTCTGAGATTTCTGTGCTTTTGAGGCGCGGGCTTGGGAATGGAATTTTGAATTCTTTGATCTTTCTCTGTGACTCCTGAAACAGCACAACTAATTTTATAAAGAAATTTATTACTAGTAGATTATTAAAAGCTTTAATAAAAATAAAATGTAAAAGGAATAAGTTTAAGAAAAGTAATGAATTAGATTTAGTATTAATAGGCATTAAGAATAGTGAAAAAAATAATGGGCTCCTTCTTAAGAAAAAGTAGCCTGAGAAGTACAGCTGGCGGGAGTGTCCCCTCCCTTCAGTGCCTTGTTTCTAGGGAAGATTATAAATCTTTAGCAGGACATATGGGAGGATGGTTAACAAAGATGTAATTAGATTTTGATACAGAGAAAGATTTTGGCAGACATCTGACTTAGCTCCTGACTTTCCTCTTCACTGGTTAGCAATAATGAAACTACATTTGAGGTTTCTTTTTCTTTGTTTTGCTTTGATCAAAAAGTCTTTAGGCCAAGATTTCTTGTGGGCACTGCTTTGTTTGACTACATTTTTGAGTTAAAATGTAAACTTTGTATTCTTGGTAAAAGTCTAAATGTTCTGGGAAGTATGCCAACTTTAAGGTGCCTTTTTGTGAAATCATTATAAAAATACTAGCTTGATTTCAGTAAAGTGCAGCAGATTCCAAAGCCTCACTGGTCTCTGTCTGTCAATTCGCCGAAACCGTGTCTTCCTGTCCAAAGCCTTGTTCTCCCGAGGACTCCAGGAGCCCGACTGGGCCGGTCCGTGGCAGTCCAGTGTATTGAAATCTGGATCCCAGTTCATGGTGTTACTGGGGTGAGGGTAGTAAAACCATAAAAGGTGGAGTCTAGAGAGGAACTTACAGCAATGGGGGTGTCTTAGTAGTTCTAATGCTGGGACAAAACACTATGACCAAGGCAACTTTTAAGTGGAAGCATTTAGTTGGAGGATGGCTTACAGTTTCAGAGGGGGAGTCCATGATCGTTAGGCAGGCAAGCAGGCATGGCTCTGGAGCAGCAGCTGAGAGCTCCTATCAGACCTGCAAGTTGCAGGTAGAGCAAGAGACTGGGTCTGGTGTGGTCTTTCGTAACCTCAAAGTCCACCATCAGTGACACACCTCCTCCAATGAGGCCACATCTCTTAATCCTTCCTAATAGTCCACCAGCTGGCCACCAAGCATTCACATATTTGAGCCTATGGGGCCATTCTTATACAAACCATGACAGGGGCATGCCCTTGAAGAGGCTACTGAGACTCTGTTCCCTTCCAGTCTTTCTCACCGTGATGTACTGTGTGCAACAGAGGCAAGTACCATGAAACTTCTGAACCTGAGCCAGTATAAATGTTTGCCTTATCAGGTGACTTCTTGGGCATTTTAAACAGAGTTAAGGAACTGGTACACCACTGAATATAAGGGAGATTTTGAAAAATTCAGGTCCTTGAAGGAAAAAGGCTTTTATTTTCCCTAGAGACTTTCATTCTCTCTGAAAGAAATACTGTGACTATTCCAGGAAACCAAGGACTAACTGGTTGTCTTTAGAAAGAAAGGGGAGGGGCTGTGAAATCCAGTTTCTAGATTCCAGTACTTTCCCTATGGATTAGGTACTGGAACTAGAAGTTGCTCTGAGTAGTCTACTTGAAGAGAATGTCTCAGTCTTTGACATCTTTCATGGGTGCTTTGACTTACATTTTCAATTCAGAAGTTGACAATGAACCTTGTTGCCAGAAAGCCTGGAGGGGAGAAGTTGTTCTGGTTCCCTCCCCATGGTCACTAACCCAGCACTCCAGGGTTAACAAAGTCATTTAGAAGTAGTTTAGACCATGACACATTTTCTCTTGAAATATCCAAGTTAATGAGTTTTTCAGCCAGTGTTCTTAAACTGTGGAGTGCTCGGGGCTTCTCTTCTTTATTCTCTTGGTTGCTGAAGATCACCCCTGATAAGGCAGGACACACTAGAACCTGCAACTTGTCTGCAGAAAGAATTTTGATTTAAATATCCTTCCTGTCTGCTTTTTAAAAGGTTCTTTTTACATTGTGTGTGTGTGTGTGTGTGTGTGTGTGTGTGTCTTTATGTATGTACAGGAGCACCTGCCCCACGATGTACATTTTGATATTAGAGAACAAATTCTTCACTGTGTGGGTCCCTGGGATTGAACTCAGGCTGTCAAGCTTGCCATCAACAACCTTTTTCAACTTGCTGGTCCTTTGCTTCTTTGATAGGTACATGTCTAACTAATAAACAAGAAAACCCCACTCCTTTATTCCACGTAAGGCAAAGGAAAGTTAGGACTGGCTTTGGTTATGGGTCACCATTTCTGGAACAGACCCCATAAAAGGAGCATATCCCACTTCACCTCCATCCCTCTTTACAGAAACCATTTCCCAAGTTGCCATCACTCAGCATGCCTGTGGGCAGGGCCTTGGGTACATCTGCTCTCCTGAGGAACCTGCCTGCCGAGCAGCAAGAGAAAGCAGTAGAATAGTGAATGATGCTGCCTTTGGTGGTGAAGGGCAAGTGGCCCTCTTCGCCTGTTATCTGTCTTAGAAAGCTTAAGCGTTTTGCTCTACTCAGGAATCAAACGCTCTATAACCTAGAAGAGCATCCCTCTTTGTGATATTCCTGCTCTGCTACACCTGCACAGACTGAAAGACACTATGGAAAAAAAGTGAATGAAAGTCTGAAAGGTAGAGCCAAAAAAACTGTTCTAAAGCACACGATTTTGAATAAAAGGCAGCTGTGGAGATGGAGAAATGGCTCAGTGGTTAAGAGTGCTCGCTGCTCTTGCCAAGGACCCAGGTTTTGGTGCACCCATGTCAGGTGGTGCAGAACTAACAGTGACTTCAATTCCAGGGGATCCAATGTCCTCTCCTGACCTCCTGGGGGACCTGCATGCGTGTGCAAGTGCAAACACACACACACACACACACGCATACATACTCTCTCTCTCCACATACATATATATAAACACACATGGGAACATACATACGCACATGCACATATACACTCACATACATAAAATAATAAATTGTTAAAAAAAGAAAGTTGTAAGTTTATTTTAAATTGTTTTAATTTTATGAATATTGTGTTCTGATGTAAAAAGAATACTGCACGATGCATTCGTATTTCATTGTCATTTTTTCATACTCTTGTGAGATCTCCACAGATGTATTTGCTTTCAAAAGTAACGCAAAGAATGTCTGAATTGTAATTTCAATCACCTATGAAGAGCTGAAAACAGGGTATCTCACTTCTTATAAAAGACAAGTACATAAAATCATGTCATTTCAGTGTAAAATAATCAACTTACGTACTTAATAGAACTTAAAGGAGGCGAATTAAGAATGATAGGAAATACAAAATATTTCTAAAAGGTTTTCAAGATGCACTCTTGCTTTTGAAAACTGCTAAAATTTGAATAATTCTAAGACTGATCACATTATATGTGATCATTTATATTGGATAAATGAATACCTTATATGCTTTTGTTAAAGAATTAGATTAAAAAGTCCAATTTGCACTGTAAAGTAACAAAATCTGTTGGATGATTAGGTGAAATACCCCTAAATAACATAAACCACAAAGAAAAAGCAGAAAATGCCTGCCTCGCACCATGGAATCCATAAACATACCTGTCCAAAAACTTACATTTTTCCATAAGGAACACACAGTTATTATGCAGTTATAAAACACATACTGAGAACTTAAGAAACAAATAATAATGGTCATAAAACTTCTAATTTTTATAAGTTTCTTACAGATATTTTTATTCTTTTTTTTCTTTGCCTTCTAATTAGTCTTTTTAGTATTGGTTTAGTAGTGGAGATGAGGGCATGAGCCTCAGGTACCAACTATGAGTTTTCAGTTTTATTTTGTATTTCTGCTATTTTTGGATGTGTTGCTCAAACAATACACTAACATACTCAACTTCTGCCATGTTTTTTTCTGACTTTCCAGAGAAGTTCAATTATGGCATTGGATAAAAGCATCACCTGCCTAATAATCCATTTACTCTTGCTTTGCCTCTGACTTCCACTAGCTCCAAGTTATTTCAGTAGTGTCTGTGTTGCTCTTACTGCTTAAACTAGATATTCCACATGATGATTTCTTAGTGGTTATCTTAAGACTCAATGAATTCATACTTTATGTATACTCTGGGCGCTACCATCCTGTGCACGTACTCTGTCCGCCATCTTCATCAAGCTCAATACTTTACGAACACTTGAAAAATGCAGAAGGTATCATGAAAACCAAAATCAAATAAGCAAAACCAGTTACCAAGAAGAAAGGTGTAGTCAGCATTGTGACTCATGCTTATAGTTCTAACACTCAGGCGACTGAGACAAGATCATGAGTTCAATCCTATCCTTGGCTACAGGGTGTGTTTGAGGAGAGCCTGAGACAGATAGTGAAACCCTATCTCAAAACAAGTGTAAAGGCTTGGGTATTGTACTGCGCACCTTTTTTCCCAGCACTCAGGAAACAGAGAGGGATAGGATCTCTGAGTTCCAGCCCAATCAGGTCTACAGAAGGAGACCCTGTCTTCAAAACAAAACAACTTGAACTAGAAATACTGACTACACTTCAGAAAACATGTAAATCTTTCCATCCAAAAATTAGCCTCATTCAAATTGATGGAGACGTATTTACAGTAAAAGAAATTGAAGTTATGTGACGTGATCCAGGTTAGTGGCAGAACGGCTTGTGAAGGCAACTTTTACAATTAGCCAAGGTTGCTAAGATCAGATTCTGAACATGTATGTTAATAGTCTCTTATTTCAAATTTAGCGTGCTCATTGTACTTATCTGTCACTTAGGTTTAAACAAAGAAACTCATGGTGAGGTAGGCAGAAAAAAATCTCAGCAATCTACCCAGATGACTGTTTGCAACATGATTGTCACTGTCTTTGCGGATACCAAGATTCTTTACAACTCAGAAGGGGAGGAGACCCAGCATGTCCGTCTACACATCGTAGTAATGTTTTAACTTAAAGCAAATAATTTAGCTTTGGGAACTGTTCCACCTCAAAACTTTACCTCCCTGACAACATAAAAATACCAAATAAAACAACTGTTTTGTAATTGAAAGTGTCATTACATTTCAACATTTTGAGAAAACAACGCTTTTAAAAATCTTCACACACACATACAGTCTAGGCTTCTGTGTCAGTAATCAAAACCACAGTAACCAAAGCCACAATCATTCAAGCCCACCATAACATTTTACTTTTAAAAATTCAGTAAAAATAATTTTTAGAAAATATAGTTATTTAATTGACAATATGTATATATTGAATACCATTTGTCAGTTGCACAGAATACATTAAAACCTAGGTTACATTGGGGAGGAAATTTAGCACTGTGTTTCCGATTCCAGAGACACTGCAAACTTCCCTCTGTGGCTGGCGTGGATACAGCTTGTGGACTGCAGAGGTGAGCCGACAGTACGTTACGTGAGTGATTTTATTTGCTTCATAACATTCAGAAGATGCATTGGCTCTTTAATCACACTGGAGTAGCATGGTGAATAACTTCTGGATTTAGAAACTGAACCGCCAACTCGGAACTTCGAAGTCATTTTAAAGACCTTATTAGAAATACACTCACACCAACAGTATTTTGTTGTTGTTGTTTTACTACAGTTTCAAGCAGACTTCATGTTTTCACCCAAACCTAAATTCAACAGCAGTTTTGACAGTGAATTTTGAGTAGTAAATAGTAGGTTCTTAATTATTCTAAAAATATATTCTTAGCTGGGTGACACATGCCTTTGGTCCCCCAGCAGTTGTGAGCGGCACAGACAGGCAGTTCAAGGCCTGTGAGTTTAAGGCCAGTCTAGTCCACACAGCCAGTTTTAGGCCAGCTGGGGATACATAGCAAGAACCTGTACCAAGTTGAAGAAAAGGGAAGGGAAGGAGGAAGAAGAGGAGAAGGAGGAAAAGGAGGAGGAGGAAGAGAAGAAGAAGTTGTTTTCCTACTTACAAGTAGTTTTAAAACTCTCAAAATCGTAGGGAAATGAATATCTACCTTCAGGTGATCCTGTTTTTTGGAGAAAAAAAAAGTTGACATTATCTAGGTCAGTTTTTATTTGCAAGTTTTCATGGGAGAGGGGGTACTATGTGGGAAATACCCTGGCATTACAGTCGCGATTATATGTTATACACAGAATTAAATAATGCAGATAAAATTAAACTGCCATTCAAAGCCGTTTGTTTTTCATACAGAACACTTACAAACTGGTTTTAAGTACTTGAGCTCCTAAGTCAGAACACCGTTTTTAGTGTTGAACCAGGAGCAGAACCACAGCATCATACAAACAATAAAACTCCCGAAATCTACTGTTTCTAGGTTTTACCTCTTTGAGTTGTCTGGGGAAATAGAGTGTTAAGCTTCCTTTTTCTTAAAAATAACAAATGAATAAAAGGAAAATGATAGGTTAGACTTTTCGATTACACAACACCAATACTCTGAAAAACTGACAGTGCAGTCTATAGATATATGTGCCACAGACTATGAGAAAAGAAACAACTTAGGAGGAGAAGTCGCATTACAGAATGTATTGTAAAAATAAATTATACAGCATATGCCACAGATGTGAAAGCTTTGCAAAGAGAAGAAAACTTTCTTTGGGCACAAAGATTCAATTGCTTTTGCCACATACGTTGATATCTTCCACAATGTGGTTTTTAACTGTTAAATTGAATCCTCAAAAAAAAAAAAAAAAAAGATTACTGGATTACTGGAAGTGATAGGATGTTTCCAGTCAACATCAGTAGCGTGGTGGACCTTAGTGATGACTGAGGGCTGTGCTGGGGAGTCTCATCGGGAGCTCATTCGCAACTGGTGAATAATGACGCTCTCTACAAAGAGAAGAAAGATACGGCATTTTCAATTAAACCCGAGTCAGTAGCTGACGTGGGCATCAGCACCACACCACTTAGATAAAACACCATCGATGTTAAGACCACAACAGGCGCAGGAGGCCAGCAACGACAGCTCAGCACACTCCGCTTTTGGGCTAACTTCATTCATATTTGCATGTGTGTTTTACTTCTGAGATAAAGCCCCTTGGAGACTATGGCCAATATTTTGATAATATTAGGTTGATCTTTACCCAATGAAAGAACTAAACACAGATACGGTAATTACTATATACAAGTTGCCTAATGGAAAAATACTTTCCTGCAGCGGCTTCCCCAGCCAAACGCTCTCTGTTCTGAACAGCGTCCACACATTTGAACCTCTTCAGCTTCAGGGCATGTGGATTGGGCTGTTAATAAGGACACAGTCCCTTTCTGTTCCAAAGAAGTCAAGAAAGAATTTGCTCTCTGACTACTGCCTTTTTCATAACTGGCTAATGTTTCCACATCTAGATTTATTCGTTTTTGTTTAATTGCGTTTATCTATTTGAGTGCGTGTGCACTGCAGCACGCCCGCGGTGCTCAGGAGGCAGCTTGCAGGACTTGGCTACCTTCACCACCACGTAGGGAACTCAGGCTGGGAGGCCGACCTCCCTCCTCCCTGGCCCCATACACTGATTCGTGGGTTTTGTTTATTTTTTTAACATTTTTTTATTCATTTATTTCGTGTACGTAAGTGGGTGTGCGCATGGAGGTCAGAGGATGACTTGCGGTTCCTTCCTTGCGCTACGGGGATCCCAGGGAAGGGACTCAGGCTTGACAACACGTGACTTTTCCCCCTCAGCCATCCCACCTGACCCCTAACGCAGTCTTTTAAATTTCAGAGCTGACTCAGTAATTAGAACAGTCCAGGCACATTGCAAACACTCGGTACCACAGCGTCCGACTGACTTCCCTTTAGGCCCTCATAAACGTGTATCATCCTCACATTTTACAACCAGTCATTTAGAGGCTATGGACTGGGGTGATAGACGTCAGCGGGCGTGGAGCTAGCTCGGTGAGAAGACCCAGCTCTGTAGTCACGGAGAGGAGGCAAAGCAGAAGAAAGAAGCTTAGGTCAGGATTTGCAATACCATGAAGAGCAGCCACGGGGTAGCTCGGCTGTTACATGCTTGCCCTGCACGTGAAAGGCTCAGAAATCCTTCCTCAACACGCCGCCCGACCCCCGCAAAAGATAAGAAATAGCATCTCCACATAGTATTCTCACTCTAATGAGAAGCGCAAACTACCTTAACTTTATTTTACTTGGGTTAAGTAAACATTAAATCGCATTACACCATAGACCTCTGTGGTGGATGATCCTCTGCAGAAAACGCTTTTGAATTTGGGTTTCATTAACCACCTCGTGGAGACCACTAGGTGGCGATATTTCCATTCCCCTTCTCAGCCTTTTGGCTTGAGTTTGGGTTTAAACAAAACAAAAGTTTAGATGAAGAACAAAATGTCTTAGAGGCCTTGCACAGCTTAAATAATACACATACGAAAAGTAAAAATAAATATATATCATTTTCTCTAGAACGTAAACACTTAAAAAAAACCTCTAAAAACAGATTCATCTTCGAGCCAGAAAAGTAAAAGCTATTAAGACATTACGTAAAAGTCATTGTCTAAGATGAAAATGCTATTTCCTACTTACCTCTTTTAAAAAAAAAAAAATATATATATATATATATATATATATATATATATATATATATATATATATATGTATATGTATATATACCAAGAATCTTCAAATGACCTACATGGCTAATCCTCCTTATGGAACAAAAGCAGCTTCCCATCTCCCCCCTCAAGGAATCGTAGAAACAAATGTCAGAGAGGAATCCAGAATCACTCTTAGTGTGATGTAACTCAGAATGCTTGTTCTCATCCTGGATAAACAATAAAGGTGCCAGAATTCACCGTGGGGTCCCCTGCAGGGCTAACAGTTTTTCCGACAACACCGCCCTGTGTGCAGCCATCTTCACTCCTGGAGTCCCCTTCTCTCACTTCTAGCACTTGGCAGAGTGCTTGCACAGCAGAAGCAATATCATGGTCTCACTCTTTGCCTTTGTTCGTAGACTTAAGGTAGAAAAGTGGCAACTGATGTGCAAGCTGTGCACACACGATAGACTGTCAGAAACACTTGATGCTTCCAAACTACAGGTGGATGTATATAAATTTTAGCTTCTTAACAAAAGCTGTCTAATATCTGTAGCTGCTTATGACCTGTGTTCCACAAATCTCAAATAAACTTAAGTTAGAATCATTCGTCTCATACCAGAAATTATGAGAAATAAATAGTGCACCGCACAAGGTTTTGAAAATGTTCATTAAATATTTGTTGTTGTTGTTGTTTAATGTTGACAGGCCAGCAAGTTTTCTCAGTGAGATGAATTAGTGGCTTGAATTTGATCCCCAGGACCCACATGGGAGAGAGAATGGGCTCTCGTAAGCTGTCCTCTGACCAACTTATATGTTTTATGGCACACAACTCATACGCACGTGTACACACGCAAACAGAGGTGGGGGAAAGAAATAGATACATAAGTAACATAATTTTTAAAAACTTGTTTAAATTTTGTTGCTGTTGATAATAACAAACTTGGCAATATTTCCCATCTCTTACTAGGTTTTCATTGTGTCTCAGAAAAGGACCCAAGTATCAGTCACTTGGAGTCTCTGAGGAGAGGTTATTATGACCAGGCACAATTCTGCAACAAGTTTCTCTTTCTATTAATACGTCTTTGTGACATTGTAATTTGTCAAATATTTAATAGGCAATAAACACCAATAATCATAGCTAATTACCACCTATCAGAAAACTCAACATTAAAAAAAAAAAAAACACTTAAATGTGGGGCCTTCTGATACCCAGGCACTTATCAACATAATTTTTTTTTCTAATTGAAAGAAAAAAAATTCTTTAAATTTTGAGTATCATATACACATGGAGGACACTGGCTTTGATATACTTTTGACAACAATTTACCAGAATGTAAACATTTCCACGTCTCCCGTTTGTTATCTTGCTGTTTTCTTCTTAAGAAACTTTGAGCATCGCAGTAAACACACAATCTGCTCTTCCAACATTGTTGTGAAAAGGCACTAATCCATTCTTTTATTACACCAGCTGTTGGATGAGTCCCGTGCAAAAGAAATTAAACACATCCTCAACTCCTAATTTCGCTTCATTTCTGACCTCACTAAGCACCCATCCTCGTGTGAGTGGTGTCACAAACTTCTAGATAGCCAGATGACAGGGGTGTCCAAAGCCGTGTGGATGGTGTAGGATTTGGACAAAAATTCAGGGGAGCATTCTCCTGCCGAAGTGGGACAGCCTAACAGTGTGCTGGAATTCTGCTTCTTCCCCCAGGAGAGTGCGTTGGCTACAAAGTGGGAAAGGTGTCCTCCCTAGAAAGGTGTTATCTCCTTCCCATGAAATGTGTGTATGTTTACGCTGCCAAAATAACTGCAGGGAACTGTTGAGCTCTGCATTTTAACAGATCCCCTCCAGTCCATCCAACCAAACCAGTCTAGCAGCTAAACGGCACGTGGATTCAAGCAGTGAAGACAAAGCATGGTGGCGCCTCACCTTGGAGCAGGGCTTTGTATCTAGTGAGAAGGATGGTCGCTCATAGAAAAAATTTACATCAATTTAAAGAGGACGTTTCCTCCTGGCTGTAGCTCCATCTGGCTGCCCTACAGCCAGCTCCCTTGTTCCAAGGCTCCCTCCCTACCAAGGACACTGTGAGGGACCCACAGCAGCTTAGTCCTTCCCCTTCAAAAGTTTCCAAACCTCCGCTGTGACCTTGCTGCTCTCCAAGTCCCTTGCCCACCTGCAGAAATGCCCTACAAATACCCTCTATGCCACTTAGAAGGGAAAATGCCTAGCTGTTGTTTGTTTGTTTGTTTGTTTTTGTTTTTTGTTTGCATTTCCGAGTTCCATAAACTACATGGGGATGCAATCAAATTATCCCATTCAGAAATCTGGATAGAACATCTGTTTTAAATAGGAAGTTCAGTAAACTTCCTCTATTGGCTTGGACTTGTACTCCTTCCTTTTGGATTCAGCTCAGCTAATTAAAAATACTTCCGATAATCAGTTCTGTCATTTGTTCCAGAAAACTTTTGAACCAGATGATATAATCTCCCTTGGGGTTTCACAACCATTGAACCCATTATTTGATCCCTTCTTAAAAAGCTCTTCCTCCACCATCGGCCCGAATCAGCCCATCCTCCCTCCAGGTTATAGGCGTCACTGATAATTATGACTAATAACTTATTTTTCAGGCAAATTTGAACTGCTTCTCTCAAAAATAACATCATCTGTAAATGAAAGGTAAAGATGTAAGATTTGAGGCCATGATGCACAGGGTTCTACTCTTTAAGCATTTAGGCTAAATGTTTATATCTATCTTTAAATTTAGAACTTGCCGGGGTGGGGGTAGGGGAGAGATGTCTCCGAGGTTAAGGGTGTTTGCTGCTCCTGTAGAAGACCTGGGTTTAATCCCCAGCACACAGAGTGGCTCTTAACCACCTGTTACTCTTGTTCTGGGGTAGTGGTTCTCAAGCCATGGTTGGTGACCCCTTTGGGAGGGGGGTCAAATGACTCTTTCACGGGGATTGCATATCAGTTATCCTGCATCCCAACTGTTTACATTACGACTCATGACAGTAGCAAATTACAGCTGTGAAGAAGTAACAAAAATAATTTTATGGTTTGGGGTCACCAAAACAGGAGAAACTGTATTAAGGGGTTGCAGCATTAGAAAGGTTGAGAACCACACTTATAGAGAATCTGATGCCTTCTTCTAACCTCTGCAGGCTCCTGCATGCACGTGGTACACAAAAATACAACCCCAAAATAAATTTAGGACTGGGGGCTGGATCTGAGTTTGACCCCTGAAACTCACACCAAACGCTGGGTGTGATGATGAGCGAGTAGTCCCAGCACT